CGGGCTGGATGAGGGGAAGTGCCTGGGCCGCGCTCGCTCTTAACGGGGCAGAGAGCAGAACGCTGGGGTGTACCTGGCTACCGGAGGGGACTTGTTCTGAGCTAAAAAGTGTTGTTTTTCTCTCAAACCTTAAATAACAAGCTTGAATTAAGCTTCTGAAATTACGAGGTTTTATCCCTGACACTCAACTAAATGCTTGTACTCCAAGCAGAGACCTGGTGGAGCAGCCGTGTTTGTAGAGAAAGGCTTCAGTACACTGTCCCATTATTTGTAGGCTGGTTGTGACTGGTACCCTCCAGAAAAATTAAACTGTGCTGTCTGTGCTGTGAACTCCTTAAATCAGGTTTTTAGAAGCAACGCAGTCCTCCTTGTAGCTGCCCAGGTTTCCTTTTATGATTTTAAATGGACGTTTTTGGTTTGGGCTGCTGTTCATGCAGTGTTTTCAGAGAGAGTAACTCTCTCCTAAAGGTATCCCATTATAAACCACAAAAATGAATTTCAGTCTTTAGCTTGGTACATAGTGTTATGCCCTAAGTCCTCTCCTTGTTTGTTTGTGGTCATAATTTTTTTTTAACATGCAGCATGAAGTGATTTTAATTAATTCAGTTTATTTTCAGAAATGCAGGAAGCTTAAATGCTGAAGACAAAGGCCAATAGAAGCTTTTAGCTATGAATATGGTTTTAAATACCTGGGCATTAACCGATACTAATTTGTATTACTTCTCTCGTGGCCTGATTAGGTTGTAGTTAGTTAATGTAATTATAAGGAATTGTATGCCCTCTTAAATCATGTTGCTCTCTGTTTACTGTTAGTAAGTCAATCATGTTCTTTTAGTCTCTTTTGGTTTTGATATCCTCATTCAGATTTGTTTTCTTCTAATGAATTACATAAGATATTTAAGTGAAATCATTTAGTAACTCCCTTCAGTGAATTAAAAGTTCACCAGTTTTTCTTCAGATGTGTTTCTTCTTGAGGTGCATATTAGAGGGGGTGAGTTGGCTGCTCATAACTATCTGACATAGTCCTCGCTGTGTGGGACTCTTTAGTAGACCTTATTGCCAGTAGTAAGTTTGCAGTGTAATATTTTAAAATATTGGCACTGTCTTCAGTGAAACTAATTTCATCACTTAGTTTATCAGCACCAGCAGGTCAGAGTTATAAGTTGTAGTGTTGAATTCTGTGTTTTTCAGCAAAAGAAAATCTAGACAAAACTGCGTAATGTTGTATATGAAGATAGGGTATAGTCTTAGTCATTTTTGTAGACCTATTACTTGTAAAAATACCCAGGTTTCTGTTATTTGTTCCTAACTAGGAATCTAATAATTAAGACTGTGGACCTTGCCACTGAGAGAAATAAATAATACTCTTCCAGGAATTGAAAACCATTTTCTCCTATAGAAAAGATTCTTTTTTTTTTTTTTTTTTTAATCCCATCCATTCCTTCCAGAGGGTAGTAGATAGCATTCAGCATCTGCGTTAGAATATGGACTAGAGAAACAATGAGCTTTATATTTCAGTCTCATTACGCAAGACCTGGAGAACAAAGAGTGTGTACTCAAAGTTCAGAACTACCTAAGGTGATTTTGCCTGAGCCAGTTCCAGTCCAGCAGCTGTAAAGCTGTTGAGAAGCCAGAGTCCATCAGATCACCACTGAGATGGTTGGGGGGCTGGAGCTTGGTATATGAAGAGAGCCTAAGGGAACTGTGTGTGTTCAGCTTGGAGAAGAGAAGGTGGCAGAAGAATGTAGTTACTGTCTTCCAGTGCCTGAACTAGTGAGAAAATGGTGCCAGATTCCTCTTGGTGCTGTGCAGCAGCAGGAGGAGAGGCAATGCTCTCAAGTTGCAGGGAGGGAAATTCTGATGGGCCATAAGCATGGCATTCCTCACAGTGAGATGATTAAATAGTGGAGAAGGATGCCCAGAGGGGCAGTGGCTTTAGAGAACTTCAGATCTCAACTAGACAAGGCCCTGTGCAATCTGACCTAACTTTTTGTAGTTAGTAGTGTCTTGAGAAGGAGAATGGATAATCAGAGGCCCTTTTCAGCCTAATTTTTTCTATGATTCTGTCATAGCGTGTTTGCACAGGGCTGTGTCCAAACCAGTCCAAACTGTCCATAGGCTACACTCTGTTCTGTAGGCTTACGGGCATGGTAAGCAGTAGTTTTGTGGTATAGTGTGGATACACTATTAGGAGATGTATTCATGCTAGTATTAGAAAAGACTGGTAGCTGTTATGCAGTCTGTGGCAAGAGTCTTTTTGCAGTTGAATATGTTAGACTACAGAGAAATAAATGGCTTCGTATTTTCCCAGTAGAGTTACAACTGCTCCAACTACCAGCCAATAAGCAGGCTTGTCATGTAAATCCATCTGTATTGGTTTCAATACTGGTTTTTCCCTCATTTATGCTGAAATAAGTTCATCATCTGTGTCACTGTAGACTATGAGACTGCTATGGGCATTAGAATTTTAAGGTGTGAAAAATCTTGCGCATGGGCCACACCTAACTGGAAGATTGGAAGACTGGCGAGCATGTTAAATGAGGGATTGAAAGAGATATGTGGTTATTGTGGCAAAGTCTTCGTTCACCTTCCCTACAATTGCTGTAAAGCTAGATTAAAAATATCACCATTGGCTTGTTTGGTGTTTAGAGTACTTTAATTCACCAGGCATTTTGATCTCTATTTAAGGGGAAGCCAAATGTGTTTAATCTCATTTGGGGAGAGAAAGGGGGAGGATGGATCTTTTGTTCATTAAAAGAGTAGTGCTCTTGATTTTGAAATAAGATACTTAAAACATTTGGTTGTATGACTTCCTCTTGCGGCTAGTGGTAGTCAAGGAGTTTTTCCCTATCACATTCCAGGGAGGAACTCCCTAAAGCTGGAATGAGTTTGCTCCCCTTTCACAAGTTGGACTACAGATTAGTTTACGCAGATGTTGCTAACAACTGATAATGTATGTCTATACCTATTTTATCACTGTCAAATTCCTGTATTTTGAAGGTGGTTTTCTTTGGAGCTTGATTTGGTTTTCGGCTCATTTGGAAATTGCCAGAGTTTATCCTTGACTGCAAAATTCATGTAAAGAGTTAAAAGTGACTAAAACTTGTGCGAGTTCTACACCACAGCAACTGTATTGCAAATGATAGCCAACCTAACTTCTTTAAGGGTAGCTCAGGTATGTCTACACAAACTTCCTGTGCTTTGTGTCTTTCCTTTGTTACAACCGTTGTGTAAGACACAAAGCAGAAAGAGGATGGCTGTAAGCATTGACATGCAGTATTACTGCAAGTGCAGCTGCACGTGAAGAGGCAGTGTGGGCAGTGCCAGGGGGATTGGTGGTGGTGTGAAACAGAGGAGAAATAGAATAGCCAAAAGCAGTTGTGTTAGAGCCAGTATTAATAATTTTACAACTAGATTGTCTTGTTTGTTTATAGGAAGGTGCCGTACCTTGCTAAAATGTGCTAGCCAGTCCTGGGCACGGTCAGAGGATGCTCTTGGACAGACAGCTTTGATGCCAAGGGATCAGCTTTGTGCAAAAGCAGAGTATACTGGACACTCTTAAATGAAAGTTTATGGATTAGGAAAAAAGGCACCTTTTGTGTTTTAAAAAATGTTGACTGAAGAATGGGAATAAAAAAATTGTTTCTTTGTATTATTTTGTGATGTCTTGTAATGCTTTAATGTTTATCCTGGCAAAAGGTAACAAAAATGCTTCCCAGCTGAAATTTAATTTTTCAGAGCTGTGATTTTTCAAAAGCATTTGAGAAAGTTGAATTCTACATAGAAACACCCTAGGAAGAATAGGGGAAGTGATATGAAACTGTATGTGTAAAAATTATTATATAAGAGATAAAACCAGAATTATAGCTAGACGACAAGTTTAAGTATTGCTCAAAGTCTAATATTAATGGTAATTTAAATGTCTAGTTGTGATTTCCCTTTTTTTTTTTTCCAAGCCCAGTCCAAGTGGCAAAGGGAAGTTTGCAAAGAGAACAGTGAACTTACTACCACAGTTGTCTCAGGTAGTTTTGTTGGCTTTTTTGGTATGCTTTCATTTTCAAATATGTGTGACAGCATGGTTATGTAAAGACCATGGTTCTCATTCAAATATATGCTGAGGTGTATATTCTCTTTCTTTGTACTATGTATGTATATTATATCTGTATGTGGAGCATTGTCTATATTTTAATATTTGGAAAACATTGAAAGTAGAGTAGAGTTTGAAAATACTTAAGTAATGTATAAAAACTGGAGAATTTACAAATATTACATAGACATTTAACATGCTTTATATGTAATGATCTGGATATTTAGAATTTGAGGGAAACATAAGTAGCAGTTTAATGTATGATTTTTATGCTGCCTTATTCCTGCAAAAAAATATTAGGTTACAGTTTCTTTGATTTACTATAGCTAAGAAGTCTTGAAGTGTGTGTTAGTAACACCCACAACAAATGTAAAACTGAAATATAAAATATTTATTCCAGGCAAGGTCTAAACCACTGTGGCAACAGACTTGTCCTTCATTCCATCTGAGCAAAGAACAAAAAGATGACAAGTCAGATGAGTTTACTGTAAAAAATGAGTATTCACCTGGTAAGGTTAACATTTTTAGTACTACTAAAGAAAACCTCTCAGAAACATGTGTGATACATTTGAACTTTATTTTTTAAATTAATTTTAAAATTTATTTTCTGCAAGGAGAATATTTGAAGGCGAGGTGCAAGAGACACAAGATTCAGGATTCTAGAGGTAGTGAAGCAGGTGCTGGACCATATCCTCCTACATTGCAGAGCAGCAGTCATCTGAAAAAAACCCATGAAAGTTTCAGAAGTGCTCTTGTTGACATTATATTGTGAGTTTCCTTATCTTTGAATAATGTGTTTTTCCTTTTTGATAGATGAACCAAATTTTAAATTTAAATTATTTTAAAATTTTTAAAATTGCAAACTGAAAGTATGTGTATAAGCATAAACTATATCATCAATTTTAAAAGCTGAACCTTAGCAGGTAAAATACAAACTTGGTCACATGCTTCAGAATGTCTTGTGCTCATTGTAAAGTTTTGCCAGTTCCCTTTTTTGTTTTGTTTGATCACAGCTGATGTGTAGGATGGCTATATAGTACTTATGCCAGTAAAATGCATCTGAAGAATGTGATACATATTCTTTATTTTGTTTGTTTTTTTGTCTCAGGCAGCAAGATCTTACTGAAGGACAGATTCCATCCCTTGAAGGAACCCAGCCTCCAAGAGCAGATTCTTCTACACCAATAGAGAAAGATATTTTGGTAGCTAAAGACTGTTTTCTAGAGTATTAAATGAAATACAGTGCCAGTAATTTATTGTAAATATTGACAAGGTGATTGACAGAATGAGAGGTGACTGACAGTGACATATTCTTCGACTATTAGCTTCACATAATATATTATTTTTAGTGTTACTGTTTAGAATGCAGCATTAGGAATGTATGAATGGTTCAAAGAATTGCAGAATTGGAATAGTAACTGCAGGATAAACAATGTCAGGAAGTAATAAATTAATCTTTTCTACACTTGCTGAAGGTGAGAATAACCTGCAAGGGAGGGTGCACTGCTTTGTCTGAGCGATAGAATCCTCAAGACAATTTTTTGGGGGTTACCATAAGCTCAGGGTTAGGATGTTCTTATTCTGGTTTAAGATACCTTGTATGACACAATTGTGTAAATAAATTTATGATTTATGTATATTTAAAATATGTTACGTTCATTTGGGGATAAATTGATTGAAATAGGTTCATGTATTACTTCCTGACATTGGTAATCTTCCAGTTGATATTCCATTCTGCATTTCTTTGAATTTGGGCTGATATGTTTCTTCATCTGTGTTTCCTTTAATGCTCTGAGGTTTTGTTAATCAGATTTCATATGCCTGTTTAAATGCTGGCATACAAGCAGATGTACTTATTTCTGGTTATACATTCATATTCTGAGCAATGCATTAGTTGTACATTGCATAGCCACACAAAACTCTGCAGAATGCATGGCTTTCTTTTTGAATATATTGTCCAGTCCCAGAGCTAATGGATAATAATGGTAGCACTGTAATGATGAGATATATAAATATGTATTGAAAAGTTATTTAAGGAAGAAGATGGTACTGGGACAGTGCGAAGGAGAGGCATCTCACCAGAATTGTAGAATTGTAAAACCAAAACCAAAGGCAGATTTCTATGAGTTATGTTCATTCTGCAATGAAATTTTTGTTATTTAGCTCTTATAAGACAAATGGAATGAGGCTTATATCACTATACCCTGTTTTTCTATCTCAACAGCTTTTTATTGTTATTCTACCCACTAGTGTTTGGCAGGCTGATGAAGGTATTTACATCAGATTTAGTGATGTATATGTAATTTACAACATAAATCAGTACTTAGTATTAATTACATTTATTTTTACTAAATTAGCCTGTATGTCTAGCTAAACCTGTAGCAGCAATAACTATCTAGTGCTGGACTTAATCAATGCATCTTATTCTTTTATCCTACAGAAATACTACTATTACATTCGTCATGGAATTGATACAGCAAATGTGGCCCCAATGGATGAATCATGGCTAGACCACATCTTAGCTTTAATTCCACAGCATCTGAAAGTATTTGATGAAAGTATACATTCACTGACTGATGAAATAAAAGATGACTATCTTCTGAGTGTAAAAAAGGCTATAGGTAGATTTTTAGGGATTTACTCATATTTTTTCCTAAGTTGCTAATATTCAGAATCATTCATTGTTGAGTGCTGCTCACTGCTGAGAGCTACCATTGTGGAAGAGTTCTATAAAAGTGTTCTGGATGTTAGAGGCGCATTTTAATAAAAAGAATACTGGAGTTTTGTTATCCTTGTAATGACCAAAGATAATATTATTCATTATTTTTATCTTTCAACACCTTTAAAAAACATTATTTTATTTTAGAAATCCCTATTTAATGGGGATTATGAAATTTTTAGCTTTCTCCAAAGTCCCTTTTCATGTATATCTAGATAAAACTGTTCATCTCAATGTGTTATACATTTGGACAATTCGGTTGAGACATTGAGGTGCTGGAGCGTGAGCAACGAAGTTGGTAAAGGGTCTAGAGAACAAGTCCTATAAGAAGTGGCTGAGGGAACTGGGGTTGCTTAGTCTGGAGAAAAGGAGGCTGCAGGGAAACCTTATCACTCTCTACAACTACCTGAAAGGAGGTTGTAGTGAGGTGGATGTCAGTCTCTTCTCCCAAGGAACAAGCGATAGGATGAGAGGAAACGGCTTCAAGCTGCATCGGTGGGGTTAGACTGGGTATCAGGAAAAATTTTTTCACCAAAGGGTTGTCAAGCACTGGAAGAGGTTGCCCAGGGAAATGTTTTAGTCACCATCCCTGGAGGTATTTGAAAGATATGTAGACGTGGTGCTTAGGGACATGGTTTAGTGGTGGACTTGGCAGCGCTAGGTTAGTGGTTGGACTTGATGATCTTAAGGGTCTTTTATAACCTAAATGATTCTATGATTCTGTCCTTTTGCTAAGCTTATTTTGCTTTTTTTTTTTTAAATACTTTTTTTCAGTTGACTTTGTTCTAAGAGACACCAGGGAAAAAGATGAAGACAAGGAGAAAGATTTTCTTCTGCCTCATCGTGCGGAGTAAGAAAATATATTTGTTCAAAAACACTGACTAGAGAACAGTGAAATAGAATAGTATGTATAAGGAACAGTCTTAATAGTGGTAGTCAGTGTCAGCCATAAATAAAACTTTGTTATTAGTTATGTATATTCAAATAATGATTATATAGCAACTTTGGAAAAACCCTGGAAAATATGTGTCTACCTTAAAAGATTGTTTGGAATTAGTTTTGTTTAGTCATGCTTAACTGGTAGGAATTCACAATTAATCCCACAGCATTTGATACAGCAGGACAAATGCTCATGTATAAACTGCATTGTAACCAATGGAGCAATGTCATCGTCTGCACAGATTTCACTGAAACTCTGTCTTATTTACAGATTGTGACAGTTTGACTCAATGCATATAGATTTAAGAATGTAGCAAAACAGTCTATATTTATTCCTCGGAACAATTCAAGAATATGTAGTATAAACAGGGATAGATGCTGAGCTTTTCTGGCTGGTTTTTCCAGTATGTAGCAACCTCCATACTGGAGTAGACAGATGTGGCCCTTGTTCAGAGTAAAGGACTATCTCTGTTCCATTCACACTTGGCTTAAAAAGTCTGCAGTCTACTGAAAGCAAGTATAGTGCTACTCCCGGGGCCATACATCTGTCCAGTGTGGATCCAGCCTACCTAGTATCTACTTTCCTAGAACATACTTTAATTCTTACTGAGATGTGAAAGTGAAGAGGTACCTCATTCATAGGTGTAGCCAAGAACTGATAAAATAAATGTGCCTTGAGAGGAATGAAATCTTACAGATGCTGCAGAAACAGAACATTTTCATCGGTATCAACCAGGTTCTGTATTGGGGGTAGCATTGCTGGGTGATTTTTAAAAGCAGAAAAGGTTTTGTTACAAATAATTTCTGGCCTGTGGTTTGAGGTAGCTAGGCATTAGAATATAATAGGAGGGTGGCTGTGACAGATGTTACTTAAGTAATTTGCATCTTAAAAAGAAAAGTAATATATGATAAATTTGTTGTATTACCCCCGAGTAAGAGGCCATCCTACATCTGATTCTTTGTAGACCTTCCATATCATCTAGGAACCGTGTAGGACATCATGGTAGTTTGTATATAAGCTTATGTCACGTGTTTACATGCAAATCCAACAAAGTGTAAAATTCTACTAGTAGAATAATCATTGGTAAAACAGTTCTATTCCATTAACAGTATTTGAAATAAGAAACTTTCTTCTAAAGAAATATGCAAGATAGATGTGGAAAAACATGACGTTTTTTAACTTAACTCCCAGTAGCTACTTTTTCTGTCTCCTGTAGAATACAGATTTGCCGAGAAATGGATGAAAGTTTTGTTCTAAATCAGATTTTTTTTTAATAATTCATTATGAAAATAACAAAAGTATTACAAATATATGACAAAGTCATCAGGAGTGTTTCTGCTTTTCCCTTGCAGCCTAAAGATTGCAATGCACAATATTTTAATAGTAAAATCAGACTGCCTGTAGAAAACAACAATTTTTAAAGAAAAAAAAGCTATGAGTATATAAAAACCCCCACCAAAATAGCTTAATGTTTTTGAAAATTTGAAAGCAGATGAACTGAGTCTATGAAAAGGCTCTAAATGTATGAGTTTTTACAGATTTGATGTGATGAGCATAAACATAGATACTACTTACTGTAGAAAAATGCATATTAATTGACAAAATACATTATATATGTATAATGATTTTATTACATTCTAAATATAAGGGACCATGAATAAGTTACAGATCTCTTAGGATTTGGCTGATATTTTTCTCATGTTATTTCTTTTTTCATACAGTGGTCAGTATTTGAAGACTTTTTTTGATATCCGAATAACAAGCAGAAAGCTACATTTATCTCCTGTATTCTGTGCTTTCTAGGATGCAAAACAATTATCTTAAAGTAAATGTATAAATGTTTTGGTTCTTAGCACAGCTACATTCATCCTACTGTTTCTTGTTGTTTTTGCGGTTGTTTGGTTTTTTAGACTAGAAGTAGTGCCAAAACCTTGGAACAAGTCTTTCTTGTCAGCGTGCAGTTACCTGAAAGAAAATTTACATGCAATAAATCCTTCAATGCTTGCTGTTCTGAACTTATGGGAGACCTCGTTTATGTAAGTGTTATCTATATCTCTTAGGTTTCAGCTGCTCAGTGATTTCAGAATATATATATATAGGGAAATAATAGATGGTCACACCTTATGATTTGCAAGTTGCCCTGTTGAATTTGGGACTGCTGCAATATATACATCTGAATACTGATCATGGATATGATGATTTTGTTCAAAAACCATTATCCCAAATGTATTTGGCTGTGTTCCCTCTAACTTTATGTTTTGAAGAATTTCTGCCAACTGTTCCTCTATAGAGGTCAAACTTTCTTATCTGTACTTCCCCAGAAATCGCATGGAATGCTTTGCCATCTTCATTTCCTTTGGTATCTAGGCAGTTTTAAGCAAGAAGCTACATGTGAAAGTTGAATAGTTTAGCCGTTTTGTACTTGATTTTCCTAAGAGCTTGGATGAAATGCCATCTGGACCTGGACATTTGTGGTTTTGTTTTTTCATTTTTTTCTACAGCCCGTTCCACTGGCACTTCAATTTGAGACACCATGTTCCTTGTACAGAAAGGTTCCAGAATGGAGCTGCTATGATCTTATCTTCTCTAAGCCCTCTTTTATTCATCTCTCTTCATTATTTTACAGACTCTGGCAAGCTTCCTGCTTCTGATATGTTTCAAAAGTCATATATGACTTCCATTTTTTAAAAAGTCTTTCATGCTTTTAGTATAGTCCCTTAATCTCTATTTTAATTTGATACTTTTTTTTTGGTCTTTCTCAGGTCAGGAATATTCAAAACACTCTGTCTCCTAAGAAGAGAAGGGTTCCTGTCTTGCCTAGCAGGGCAGTTATGTTTTTTCCTCTTACCAGATTAAAAAGGGAAAAAGGCATTAGATGGGCTATTATTTTCTGCTTCCCAGAGCAGACCAAACTGCTTATTTCTTGACTGGTGATACAAAAGAGAATGAACTGATCTGACCAGGACAGGTGCTGTGACAAGTTGCAGAGAGTGTTTTTGGGTTTTTGTGTTGTGTTTTTTGTTTTGTTTTGTTTTTTGAAATTTTTGTTGTATCTGCTAAGTAGGAGACAAAATTCAGCCAATGTCTTTTAAAAATATAAAACCTAAAAATGATTTTGAAGCTAGGTTTACATCATTATTTATTTATTTTTAAAATTGTTTTATAATATTTGTAAAAATCCATCCAGTCCTAGAAAGGAATGCTATTTAACACATTCAAAATTTTTAATGTTTGATGCTATATACAATGAGTAACATATACACAAACTCTGATTCTGAAAATAGTTATTAATGTGCTCAAATGTAGTAATTACTACTTCAATTTAAGGCCATGCATATGGACAGTACTGTGCTGCTTGTATTTGGTTGTTCTGAAAGAATAGAAGCTGATTTCTGAAAAACATTATTTTTAAGTGTTTAAAATATGCTTAAGGTTTGAAATGTGAAATAGGAAAAAAGTTTAACGGAAACAAAAGCGCAAAAACCAAGATACAGTGAACACGCTCCTAAAATACTCATGTGATGTTCTGTTTCAGAAATTTACGCCTTTTTGATACGGAAATATTTCACAATAAACAAGAAGCTGAGGAATTCTCACTTTTCCAGAATAAAGTCATGAAGGAAATTGGAAAATCCAAAGTGATTCTATCTAAGAAGTATGATCCAGTGTATCCATATTTTTTAATTTTAAATGGAAATCTTTAATTTTTTTCTTCAGCTGTTTTGGAATCTGAACTTTCTGGAGAGAGAATGAATGACCCATTTTAATAATACTTACGGAGGAAAGAGATGCAGTGTTGTGAAATTCTTTAAGGCCTATGAATGAAAACTGCTGTGTAAATATTGAACATGTTATCATGATTTGTGCAGTTTTCTTATTTTGAGTTTTGGTGTGATGTATTTTGCTCACTTCTTAGAGGGGCGTTAACAATACACGTGTGTTAGTTTGTTGTGACAAAAACTTTTATTTTGTGGACTCGCTTGTGCTGGATAAATGAGAAAATACAGTATTGTTACTATCAGTAATTTATGACATTTCAGATTATAAACTGTGATATAACTTATTACATAGTAAGACTTGCCCCATCCCTACTTCACACAAAGAAAATGTCTCATTGATAGGAAGATTAACCTAGTATCACTTCAGCACCAGTATCTCTGTAGAACATCTGTTGATGATTTTAGAATTTCAGTTTGTATATTCTCAGTTTTGTAGCTGCTTCTGAGAGCTGAGTAATCTGAAAAATGTTTGTTAATGAGATCCCTTGACTTTAGAGATTATGACGAAGATATTCAAAAGTAAAGTGTTTGGCTATCAATGTAAAAGAAGAAAGGCAGTTTTCTTGATAATGAACTCAGTATGCTGCAGTTAAGTTTTCAAACAAATGAAGTATCCAAATTGCTAGCCCTTTTTGAGATACGTTTGGCCAAACTGTATTGTTTGTATGTATCTGATCTTTGACCAATGATGCTTGATTCCTGCAGTTATGTATTACTGCATTTTTCCTATTTTAGGTTTTAATTAAATACAACAACAGTTGAGACCACTATAGTCTCAAATACTTGTTTTTTCATGCTATTAACCTTGAAGGTTTTTATTTCCATACTTGGCTATGATTCAGTTATGTATTGTCTTTACTGGTTTTGGATGTATTTCTTCCTGACCCTGAAGATAACCTTTCTGCTCTTAACTGACGGCTGCACACTTCTGTGCTTTCTTCCTTCCTATTTCCCAGCAAGGCCAGACCCAATTTCATTTTGGTTAAGGGCAACTAGGCAGAATTCCCTTCGGATTGCTTTCACATCTTAACATCTATTGAGGTTACAAAGATGCATAATGAATTGCACAGCCCCTGGGATTTAAGTGTGCTGTCAGTGAAGCCTTTCTGGCCTTAGAAATAGGAGACCAAAACGAGATAGCAAATTTGCCTATCATAATATCTTACATTTTAAATATGGTTCCATAATAATAACATTTTCAGATACATGATTCCTTAGAATTTAAAGATAATACCATACAACCTACTTAAGTTAAACTATAGTTTCTCAAGTATACTGCAGCATCTTTTCACTGCATGTAATATAAATATTTATAGCAATTAAACCCACAGATTTATTTATGCTAATCACTTGAAAAACTTAAAAATACTGTATTCTTTTAAGGTGGTTTCCGGAAGTGCAGAAAATCTTTTACCAAGGTAATAAACAAAAACAAGTACCCAGCAATGCCAGCATCACTAAATTAGAGTCTTTCTTCAGTTGTGCTGCCACTTTAATGACTCGTCAACTGCAACATTTGCTTTTACATTCAATTCAAGACTTTACAGATTTAATTGTTCAACCTGCAGTAAGTAGTCTTTCATTTGCATACTAGCAGCATTGTTTATGCATGTACATACAATTTGTTTCCTGTTTATTTTGCTTCTTTTGGAAAAAAAAAGAATAGAATAATAGAAAAATGTATTAAGTAGAGTTAAAATAATGGGGTTTTGTCACGTAAGAAGGGAATTATCAATGTATTTTAAACCTGATATCATGAAGAACACACTGCAGTCAGACATACAGTAGAAATTAATTAATATAAAGACCATTTGCATTTTTCACTAGTGCTCTCTTTCTGTAATATCCATCTGTGAAGAAGTCTTATTTTCTCTCTGATATTAGTAGGTGTCTACTACATGCTTTGGCAGAACAGTTCTTGAGTAAAAAAAAAAGTAAAAAAGGAGGAGTTTCTCTTTTGCACTCACATAATGTCTATTGCAGAGGTAAATATTTCTCGTTGATTTTTGATGTCTTGGAGTGCAACTGGATCTTTGTTCAGCTTTCTGTTAATACAGCCTTGCTGCCAAATATCCCCAGAACTCTGGCTCCAGATAATATTGATGAAAAAACATGCAGAGAACATAAGGAATCATGTTGTGGAAGTAGAGTATATATTTTTCATTCTTACTCCCCTGTAATTGCTTTATATACTTCTCAGTTAAGTGAGCTTTGTTGTCAACAGCACTATTTTCTGTTATTATTACTAATAGGTATGGTTTTCTAATCTTCTCTTTTCTAACGGTGATCCTATGCTACCTAGTAGTGATAAAATGCTTCCTCATGTTTCCTAACAATTTTTGTGTAGTTAGAATAGGTTGGCAGATGTGGGAAAGCTGAGAGATGTCTGATCCAAATTGAAGATATGAAATTATGCCAAGGACAAAAGCATATACAAATTTTTGTACTGGAATACATGGGAATCCATACTGCAAATATAACCTTCATAATAATCTGTTTAGATTTGGTGTATCAGATTCTTGTTTAGCAAATAAAATTGGATGTAACACTTCTTTTTACAGTTAGTAGTTTCATAGTCAGTGCTCCAGATGATGAATACATGTACTACTGTAGATGTATAAATTCATATATTGCTACATTTGTGTGGGCTACTACTGGAAAGCTACTCGGCCTCAGTCTATGCGCAACTTCGAAAGTTGTTGGCTGCTGTACAGATGATGTCTCTTGTGCCTACTAAAAATAACATTGTATTTCATCTTAATGAACATCAGTTTATGTGAATTTTATCAGAGACATACTTCCTACTTGCACGAGTATTTTTGTTAGGATTGTGGCATGCTATTTGCAATCAAAGTCCTGACAATTTAAAATGCTTATGCTAAAGTAATTCTTAATGATCATTTGACTTTTCCAGCATGAGTTAGGTTAACTAATGTTTTACTTTTTTTTTTTCTTGCATTAGAAATCAGTCCAAGCCTACAAACACCCAGGTTTAATCCTGAGGCTAACTCTTCAGAATGATAGTATTAAATTTGAACCTGACTTTAATGTCTACGAGGACATATTACTGAATATTTATACTGTTATGATTCAAGCTGTCAGTGATATACCAAGAGTTGAGACCAAATTATTTTCTAAGTGGGTAAGAAATTACAATACTCATGGGTTTTGTTTTATCATTATTTTGTTGCTACATTTAGTTTTTAGGTATTTTCGTGACTAGCCCTATTGTCGGAACTCACATCGTAATGTTATAATACTCTTTCAGGATATTTGGAACACTTTGAAATCATCTTAATTGTATTAATAAAAGGCCCAATCACTGTTCTCTAAGCAAATAAAATGCCAAGAATCAACTGCTTTCCTCTATGAGTTATTTTCTGCAGCAGCTGCTACAAATGTACTACAGACAAAATTGATTCATTTAAACTTTAAACATTTCTGCGGTATTCTGGAAAATACCTTCTATTTTGATACTGGAAAGGGTACTGTCTTTTAAAATATAGAATCTTTTGAGTAGGTTATCCTCTAAAAAAAAATCTAAACTTTTAAAACAGTTTATTTTTTAGTTGTTTTATGCATTCAAGCAGATCAAATTGTTAGGTGTCCTGGTTTCAGCCAGGATGGAGCCACGACATTAGGTCAAACAGGAAACGATCCAGGTTAACGAAAAAACATTTTGTGAAATAATGGGGCGGGGGGGAAGTATGTACTTGGTTTAGAATTGCATGTTACTTTCAGTATCGCAGTCTTAGCTTTTTGTATGGAGAGAGTAAAAATAATGCCCTGTGATGCCTCTTCATTGTTTCCCAAAGAGCTGTGGGAGGTGAACATTTCTTTTTTCCTGAAGGAAATATCATTTGGACACTGTTTCCCTTTCTGTTTAGCACCAACTGGAATTTTAAATAAAGATACTAACCCTCAACATCTTTGTTAATATGCTTGAACACATGACAAAGCAGAAACCTGCATAGTATGCTATGCTTTATAAAAACACTGATCAATAACCTGTCAAAAGACAAATTAAAAGAATCATCTCAAGCATGTCTAAATGCTCAAGAGCAAGGCTTTAGATCTTCTGGGGGATTGCAGGAAAATGTTTTTCATATTTCTAATGTTACAGATTCATCTGTTGATAGCAAAATTGAAGTTGTGCCTGTGGTTCAGGAAAAATAAAATCTATGTAGATTAAATTTTAAATTGTTCATAGAATTGTTTTGGGTAGATAAACATGTGGACTTCTGAGTTTCTGAATGAAGCAGCTCTGATTTCTTACTTGTTGGAAGCAAACATCCATAAACTAGGATTCATAAAAATTTGGGAGTAGAATGTAAATAGCTGTATCTACAAATTTAATTTCATAATCAGACTTTAATTAGATTTTAAAGTTGCATTTAGTTGATTTTTCTATCCTATTTATTTTCTATGACATAACTGAACTACAGACATAACTGTAATTTGAAAATGTATTTCGTTTTTTGTATGTTTTTTTCAAAGCCAACAGATGAGTCCTCATCAAGTGTCTTGAAGCCTGTTATCCTAGATGAGATCTTGGATGAACATAAGAAAAGGATCAGAGAAGAAATTATCAAAGAAAGTGCTTCACCTGTAGAACATCTCAAGCTGTATGATAAGTACAGCTTCCTGATAAACAAACAAGCTGAACAAGATATCGATCAGTTCCTGACAGAGGAACACACCTTTGAAGAAATGAAAAGGGAAGTTATAAAGTACCGGAAACTTGCTAAGGAAATAAAATATACTTCTAGGAAGGTAAATTATAATAATATTCACAGTGGTTTATCTCCCTAACATTCAGTGCAAACGTCAGTTCTGGAGAAACTAGTACTTACAGGCCTGTCTTGTGGGGTTCTGTGTGTGGAAGTCAAGCTCAATTGCCCAGTAGTCAAAGAAAGCATTGGATTTGGAGACTCACGGGGAGGCAGAGTCCCTTTTTAATCCTAAGGAATATCACGCATCTCCAACAGTAAAACAAGATTGCCACATTTTAGATGTATCTCAAACTCTGTAATTTCACCAGACTACATTCACCACTACAGAGAGTAGATGCCCTTCCTTTTTGAGGAAGTAGATTATTTGTCAATGTAAAATGTAATAACAGTAAGATTTATATGAAGTACAATGTGCAGATACAGAAGAACAGTTATTTGCAACTATAGCTTTTTCTTTCCCTTCTTCACTTGAAAGTTTAAAAAGCATTTTATGATTTAACTAAATTCCTAGGTGAGATCCATGATATTCTGCTTAAGACAGTGGAATAAAATAGGTAAAAGCTATTCAGTGTTCTGACAATTGTTATATTTGTATTGCAGTATCTCCATCTAGGAATGTTTGAATTGCATTGTGATGAATTAATAAGCGCTTTGGTAAAGCGAGCAGATAATATTTGTGAAAAAGTTATTTCCAAGATGTTCAAAGATCACCAAGACATAAATGTGAGGTAACTCTCAAACTGAAAATGTATATTGGAATGTACTTAATTTTGTTTCCACTGTTGTATTTTTTTTTAATCCTTGAAGGACACGTTGTTGTCATTTTTGCTATTATAAATGTATGTAGTTTGTCCAAGTATGATTAAAACAAAAAACCGATGCCAAACTGGTTATTTTTTGTATTTTTCAGATTATGTGATGAGTTTGAGAGAATATCAGAAAAAGCTCTTACTACTCCATCTAATACACAGGAGCTAATGGAACTTAAGGTACTCTCTTTTCTATGAGTCCAAGCAAGGATTAGCTACCAATACTATTGTTCTGGCCTTAAGTAGTATTGTATGCAAGTTGCCCCCTTTACAGGTATGATTCTGGCCTTGGTTAAAGTCACTGGTGCTATATCCATATTACAAAATAGAAAAGGACAATTCTTCTTTGGCCATGAGGCTAAACATCATAGCCTGGCTCTTATACATACAGCTCAACTCTTTTCTCCACCTAAATGTCATGGTTGCAGCCAGGCTGCCTATTTGGAACAGTCCTTTGTCTCTGTGTCACTTGCCCTATACAGTGGTGGTATTGGTGAGAATGCCAGTTGACATGGGCCAAAACCCTGTAGGGCAGCTGTCTGCAAAGTGGGAGATGTGCAGACTAGGGCGTGCACAAGATGATCCATTGGAGTACACGAAGGAAATAGTATTTATTTTTTACGTTAAAAAAGTGAGAAAGAAACTAAGCTTTACCAATATTTAATGTATGGATTGACAGTGGTGATCTCAGTCTGTATGTCAGAGGGTCCTGTGTCATGTACGTACGTGAGGAA